AGTTGATGTGCGCTACCAAAAGATATATCCCTTTCAATATAGTTTTGCTTCTTTCGCTCTTGACTACATTCTTTACACCACTGCAACAAAAGAAGAAAATGACAAAAAGGTAAAATGTTAATTTTGATGAAGCATAGTAAACATACCTTAATAAATATTGCATATGTAAGGGTCATAAGTACAAATAGCAAAAAATATAAAATAAGAAAGCAAAAAATATAAGTTAGAATGTTCAGAAAAATGTTGAGATAATTAGAAGCTTAAAACTTAATTCTTTATTTGTAGCTTCATACCATGTAGTTGGAAACAACATTTCTTAGTCTGTGTCTCCTACCTACTTGAGGTAGAGGTAAAGTCTGTGTACACTCTATCCTCTCAAACCCTCTTTGCAACTCCATACCATGTAAATGATATATTTAAAACCCGTTAGAAAATTAGTTACCTTAACCATAGAATTTATTTTGCAGCAGAAAATACATGAATGCAGAAATTAAAGTTATCAAGGGATACAACATGTAAAATAGTCTTCAGTTGCAATGTGAAATCATGAAGTTGAAAATATACTGGCCAAATAATTACAGAGTGAGGCTATAGTTTATTGTATTCACAAACACGCATCAGATTTAAGGATCAATTGATTCTCTATTTGTATGAATGTCTTCGAGATTGCTCCGAATAAAATGTCAAAAGCCTAAGTCATTTTTTTGTTTCTTCTGTTCACTCATTTTAGTACTTGCAAAGCTTTAAATGTGAAGTAGAAAAATTAAGAAGGATGAAAAATAAAGTTGATCAAATCATTAGAATTTCTAAGACACTTGAAGAAGAGTGTATTTGCTTGATTAGAGTAACGACGAGAGCAAATTTTATGTTAAATTAATTAAGCAAAAATATCTTAAAAGGGAGTACGAAGTTGAGTATCACACGCTAATGAGAACAATGTGTTAGCCTTTGCTAGTCTAAACACAACAACATACAAAGAATTTTATGTTAACTTCAACAAAACAAACTATCATGAAATAGCAAATACAGAGAGTTGTGATTTGGAATGGAGAAGACGAATAACTAGAATGCAGAAAGAGTAATCTCCATTACTGATTAGAGAAAGAGCGATACAAAATGCATTTAATTGCTTAGAGAATAAGCTAAGTGTTCCTCCTTATATACACATCTAATGTTAGTTCCTAATGACAGTTGTACATCACTAACTAACTGATATAATAACTAAATCGGTTAAGAAGAACTTTCTACCAATAACCAACTAACTAATCCTATCTAGCAATCACATTGATCCAATTAAGTCACAGCTCCAACTTCATTACTCCCCCTCAATATAGCTGGTGTAAAGACATTCAGCATCCCTAGCTTGGACACTAGGTACTCATGTTGTGACCTAATCGATCCCTTTGTCATTATGTCTGCCTGTTGCTCATGTGTTGTCATGTATAGTGGTCTGATAAGTCCCTTCTGAATCTTTTCCCGGATGAAATGACAATCTATTTCTATGTGCTTTGTCCACTCATGATAAACTGGATTTGCAGCTATCTATATGCTGCTTTACTATCACAAAAAGTTCCACTGGCATCTCCAGTTCTTCTCCAAGTTCCTTGAATAATGCAATAATCCACACAAGCTCTGAAACAGTTGAGGCCATATATACTTCTGTACTCTGATTCTGCTGAGCTCCTGGATATGGTTGTCTGTTTCTTTGATCTCCATGATATTAGAGAACTACCAGGCTTAATCAAAAATCATGTTACAGACCTTCTTGTATTGGGGCAAGAGGCCCAATCTGCATCACAAAAGGACACTAATTTATTCTACTTTTTACTGCTCAGTAATATTCTCATTGCATGTTCTCTTTCACATATCTAACCACCTTGATATCTGCCTCCATGTGTGATTTCTTCGGGCCCTGTAGGAATTGACCCAGTGTTTGCACTGCAAATCCAATGTATGGTCTTGTTAGGATCAAATACAACAGTCTCCCAATCAAATAGGATCCTATATTTGTTAAGTAGGGATCATCTGTCATTCCTCATGCTTTATCTACTTCAGTTGTAGTCAATTTTAAGTTGATGTCTAATGGTGTCCAAGATGGCTTGGCACCAATCAATCCCAGCTCCTCTATCATTTCAAGTGCATATTTTCTTTGGTTCATCAGTATTCCTTTGGATGATCTACTAAACTCTATTCCAAAGAAATATCTTAGAATTCCAAGATCTTTCATTTTGAATTTAGCATGTAGCTCTTCCTTAGTCTACGTATTCAAATTCAGGTTGCTACCAGCCACCAACATGTCATCTACATACACCAAGATCACCACAATATCACCATGGTGCCTTTTAGTGAACAAAGAATGATCCAGTTTACTTTGTACAAAGCGAAAAGCCACTAATGCATCAGTGAGTTTCACATTACACTGCCTACTAGCCTGCTTAATGCCACACAAGGACTTTACTAACCTGCATACCAGTCCATGCTTCTCCCCCTGGCTAGAAAAGCCTTCAGGTAAGATCATATAAACCTCATAAAATAAGTCTCTTTGCAAGAAAGGGTTGTAGACATCTAGTTGGTGAATGTGCCAGCCAAAAAGCTGCAACAATCTTCACAACTGGGAGAATGTGTCTTGATAATCCAATCCAGCCTTTTGGTTATATCCCTTGGCCAATAATTGAGCCCTGTACCTCTCCAAATCACCATTAGCCTTGTATTTCACCTTGTATACTCATTTGCATCCAATGGGAACCTTGCCATGTGTCAAACGTACTAGTTACAATGTATGATTAGCTTCAAGTGTCTGAATCTCTTCTTGCATAGATGAAATCCAGTGTGGATGTGGATTTGTACAAGCTTCTTGATAAAAAGTTGGCTCAGAGATACAAGAAAAAACATGAATAAAATTCTAATAGTGGGAGGATAAATGTGTATAGCTTAATGATTGTGAGAGGGGATAAGGTGTAGAGACAACAGTTGAATTGGTAACAAAATTATTCATCCAAGTAGGCAATTTTCTTGGCTTATTGGGTTGTCTAGGGACTGCAACTGCTGGAATATCAACTGCAGGTTCATCTACTAGGGAATCAACTACAAGATCATTAGGTTGTGGATCTAATAATGGAGCTGGAGCTACCTGAGGATCATCAGTCATATCACCTGCAGAGGTATCTGAAAATATATGATGAGAGGCAGATGAAGCTTTAAATGGAAAAACATCTTCCTTAAAGCTTGCATCTCTGGAAACAAAAAAAAACATAAGTATCCATATTATATAGGACATATCCTTTTGACACTTCAGAGTAGCCCATAAGAACTGCTAACATTGCTCTTGGGGCAAATCTGTCACCATGTGGTAGGATTTTTGCATAGAATAAGCATCCCAATGTCCTAAGATGATAAAGAGTACATTTGCAACCATGAAACACTTCAAATGGTGTCTTCCCTCGCAAATCTACTAAAGGAAGTCTGTTCATCATGTAGACAACACCTAACACACAGTGGCCCCAAAATTTCAAGGGAATGGAACCTTGGAATCTGATGGATCTAGCTAATTCTAGGATATATTTGTGTTTCTCTCCACTACCCCATTTTGATGTGGGGTGTAAACACAAGATTTCTAATGTATAATGCCATATGATTGAAACAAGAAAGAACATACAGAGTTTACTAATTCTGTCCCATTATTTGATCTTACTGTCTTCACAATTTTACAAAATTGAGTCAATACTAACTTGATGAAGTCCCTCAAAACTACCACAACATCACTTTTAAATTTTAACAAGTAGATCCATGTAATCTGAGAATGGTCATCCACAATTGTCAAAAACATTTTATTGCCATCAAAAGTAGGTACATGAAATGGTCCCCATACATCCAAGTGTAGTAAATCAAAAACACAAACAACTCTAGAACTAATAGTTGGAAATGACATTCTAGTTTGTTTAGCAAGGAGACAAATGTCTTAGTTGTCCAAACCTTGTTTACATTCAGAGTGATCAAGACTAAGTAAATGTTCCATAACTCTAATGGATGCATTTCCCAGCCTCATGTGCCATAGTAAAATGTCAACTTCATTCCTTGCTGCTATCATCCCTCTAATAGATGGTTTATTAGTATGATCTGGCTCCCTATGTTGCATCAAATACAGACCATCTTTCTCCTCACCAATTTCCAAGGACCTTCCCACTTAAGAGGTCTTGGAATATGCAAAAGTTAGGGAAAAATTTGACTGAACATTGTAACTCCTTAGTGATACTGGAAATAGATAGTAGATTGAATCTAAAATTTGGAATGTATAAGACATTGCTTAAGATTTCCCATCCATAATATCACAATTACCAATATGAGACACATTGACTGTTCCTCCATTAGGTAAGTTAACTTTCTTTGCATTAACACTAACATTAATGGTCTCCTTACTGTTCAACATATCTTTATCAAAGATCGTGTGGTTAGAAGCTTCAGTATCTATTATCTAGTTCTTCTCAGATCTAGGAAAAAAAAGGATAGAGACATTACCTGCATTATCATTAGCAGGTAGAAGTGAAGAAAATGCATTACCTCTCATGCTACTCATGTTGGCTAAAGGTTCTCCCATTTTCTCTCTATCAGTCATCCTCTGAAACTGATCATAATGATGTGGATTGTCCATGTGTTGGATCATCTGATTGTATTGAGTTTGAGTGTAGTTGGATGGACATGGTCCTTTGTACCAATCATTAGATGAAACATCAGAAAATTCACCTCCTTTGTGATTTTCTGTTATCATTGCACCTTTACCATTATTTTGCAAATCTCTGTTTGAATCAGTATAAACAGCTCGATTTGGCCCTGCATCATTGTACATTCTGCCATCATCATTTCTCACAAAATTAGCCAGTGACCTTTGATCACCTCCCTGTACATTATGAGCATTAGGATTCCCAAATTTCTTCTTGAACTTGAAATCTATAGCAATCACCTTTAGCATGTCGCATTATCTTGCAGTGATCACATTGAACATTTCAATTCTTCTTGGGTTTGTTGTTGTGTGTGCCCCTCCCAGAAGAAAAAGTTGCTATCTCCATGTTCATGGCTGGACTAGCAATATTTGTAATGTTCCTTTGGCTCTCTCTCTCGATCATCATGGAGTATGCCCGATTCACAGAGGGAATCAGAATAAGCATCAGAATATGGCCACAAGACTCATTGAGTCCCATCAAAAATTGCAACAACTTCTGTATGTTCATTAACTCCATGAATCCTCGAGATCCTACATAGTTGCAATCAGGAAATGGAGCCAAGCTATCAAACTCTGCCCAATGCAACCGTAATCTAGTGAAATACTTAGAGATACTACTAGTTCCCTGAGACATAGTTGCAATCTCTTGATGCAGTTGAAAAATCCTTGAGTTTTCTGCTTTGTCAAATCACTTTTTGAAATCGTTCCAAACTGCAAAAGCATCAAAGGAATACACAATTCCACTCAACAATTCTTTCGGAACAGAATTCATTATCCATGAAAGAACTATCGCATTACTGCGCTCCCACAAATCAGTCAGATTAGGGCCAAAGTTTTCCTTCCTGCATTTTCCATCTATGAATCCTAACTTGTTTATGCCAAGTATAGCGATACGCATCGATCGACTCCATACAAAATAATTTTATGATCCTGTCAATTGAATAGAAACCATAACTACTCCAGATGTATCTGATGTATTCAAATATAAGAAATGGTTATGACTTAATTTCTCCGATAGTTCATTATCGACCACAGCTGCCATTGATTCTTCAGCTCTTTACCTGTCAATTCACTCGATCTAGACCATATCAATGGCCATCAAGCTTTGATACCATGTCACGAAATAGAAAATACAGAGAGTTGTAATTTGGAATGAAGAAGACAAAGAACTAGAATGCAGAAAGAATAATCGCTATTACTGATTAGAGAAAGAGCGATACAAAATGTATTGAATTGCTTGGAGAATAAGCTAAGTGTTCCTACTTATATACACATCTAATGTTAGTTCTTAATGTCAGTTGTACATCACTAACTAACTGATATAATAACTAAATCTGTTAAGAAGAACTTTCTACCACTAACCAACTAACTAATCCTATCTAACAATCACTTTGATTCAATTAAGTCACAACTCCAACTTCATTACAAACTAACACCAATCAATAATATATACATGTTCTAGGAGAAAATGTTGTTTTTTCTCTTCTAATAATTTTATTTTCAACTGCCTGACCAGTTGGTTAATATAGTAGGAACGGAAAAGGGACACAAATATATCTCTTAGTTTTGAGATTTAGAACTGATACACCTCGTTAGAAAAGTTAGGAATATATACCATTGTCATCTAACAAATATAAAATAATTATGCTTTCGTTAACAAACTCATAGTTAGTGAAACCATTAATTAAGGGAAGCAAATATTTAAAAAAAAAACTATAGGAATTTCTTCAGCAAATTGACTATGTTCAAGTAAAATAACAAAGCTGGTAGAGTAAGGAAAAAACATAATGGTTAGAAGTAAAATTGAGAAAGAAAAATTGTGAGTACCAATTTTTTCCAAGGCGGAGGTGCAGGAAGCTCCACCGATACAATTTCATCGTTTTGCAACATATATGACTTAAATGTCAAAGTTACAAACTTTAATACAACAAAAGAAGAAATATCAAAAATCCAAGATTGAGCAAGATAGCAGTCATATATGTTGCAAAACACTTACTAAAAAACAATATAACAAAAGATTATTCAGTTTGCTGAGGCAAATGATCAAACACCTTGGGTGGGTAATTTTGCACTTGTGAAATAACTTATGAAGAAAAGAAAATAATTAAATTAAATAAGAATAAATGTACATGCATGTCGTTACTTGATTCGAGATCGTCTATTGAGCTCATAAATTCACCCTCACAGAGAGATTTGAATTTTCTAACTCAAAATTCATCTTTTGAATCTTGATTTTGCAACAATTGCTGAGATATATATAACCAATCAACTCTCTTTAGCCGAGAAAATAACATTAGGTTCTATTGAAGTGAAAATTCGATAGTGAGAAGTAAAAGTGATGAGACGACTTTGAAGTAAAGTTTAAGGTGTATAGTTAGAAATGGCTACCATGGAAATTGTGATGGAGAGAAGAAGAGTAAAGCAGAAGATGACAGAGTCAATATGAATTGAGATTATTATTTTTTGACATAAAATATGTGCTACACGTGTACAGAAAGCATTACATGTTACACACTTTAGAAAAAGTAGAAGTAGATGAAGTTATTATTTTAACCCTACTATTTGTAGTACAAGTTACATTCCTTCTTTTCTTATATCTTCCCTTTCGGGTCGGATCGGATAAAGAAAGGAGCTAAAGAATGAAATATTCATTAAAGTAGTCCTTACATCCCTCCGCAAGCATAAGAAGAGTCTGATAATGGTTGGTCTTAAAAGGTCATTAAGAAATTACATAAATCAAGTTCTTGTGCCTTTTGTACCATAATTTGATGCTATGTTCATCCTCCCCAACGATCACTTATAAATAAGGGTAATAATATATATAATATTTAATTTTTTAACCTTTGTATTTACATATTTGTATTCAAGTTCATTAGCATTATGAGTAGAATAATCCTTTTATAAGTTTAATTTAAGATCTAATGTTATTTTTTATGATTATTATTTTAGTATTACATACATTTTAAGTTTGAATAAATATAATATGTACATACTTATTTAAGTTTCACTTATTGTAACACCTCGAAAGTGCATAACTCAGTTGGAAGAGGAAAGGTTGCACAAAGACTATTGGTGTGTTGTTTTGTATTCCATTATAACACCTCAAATTAGAGAAAGGATAGAAAAGAGTTAAATGGGCAAGTTAAGAGCACAAAAATGGACCATGGAACCCTTCACGGAGCCCTAGACGGGCCGTGTAGGGGACCACAGTCTGTTTAGTAGTTCGTGGTAAGTTCCAGAGCCTGCCCAAGCAGGTGTCATTCCCGTGGGCACCTAGATGGCCCGTGGTGAGCTTAACGGCCCGTTAAGCGAGTCGTACAAGTCACCCAGTGGTAGGTTGTCATCCTAGGCCACTGGAAAATAACTACGAACGTCTAAACGGTCCGTGAAGCTTCATATGGACCGTGAAGTCGTCTGTGAGGGGGGTTTTATCAGACATAGATTTTAGGGTCAACTTCAAATAGCCATATTTTTTAGCACAAAATTAATTAGGTAACCCATGACCTATCAAATTAAAGATCTTTGAGTCATTTTTCCAACGCCATAAAGTTTGCCTAATTTCAAGCTCGGAGTAAAACGTTATGCTCGAAATAGTGAAGCCTTGTCAGGCAAAATTTCTTCATGACCCTTTAGACGGTCGTGGTGGTCTAGACGAGCCGTTTAGGCCTCATTGAAGTCAGTTTAGCAGTTTTTAGGTCAGGGGCAATTGGGTCTTTTTCCAATTATTTTAACTCAATACTATGTCATTTTACCCTTTACCCAAAGCCCTATATAAAGATTTTTTTTACCCTAAAAATCACCCAATTGAATACATTCTCTCAATTTCCCAAAAGAAAAACTAGTTCATCCTCCCCAAATATTTCTCTCTCTAGGGAAGAAGAAGAAGTCAAGTTAGGGTTTCAAGATCAAGTCTCTAATTCACCATTGAATGTGGGCTTTGAACTCAAATGTATAATAGTCTTCATCGATGGAGCTCCTTCCTCCATAGAGTTCCTAAATTCTCCAATTTACAAAGTTTGAAATCCCCAATTGAAGTTAGGGTTTTCTTCCATGTCATGAGTTCCTTTCAATGTTGATATAGTTGGTTGATTAATGAACTATTATGCATGAATTGAGATAATTCTATATTTTTAAGATGAATTCCCATGAACCCATGCATAACCCATATTTTCTAAGGTATGGTGATATAATGTGGGTTTTGAGCTATGAAAGATGAGTCTATGAAGATATGCATGTTCTTTATGAAAATGATTTAAGATTGCTTTGAGAGTGAAACATATATTTTATTGTTGTTGTTGTTGTTGTGAAAGGTTTTCTCACATACTACTCAGTACATGCATGTGAAAGGGTTTTCTCACATAAGGATTCTTAGAGTTGAAAGGTTTTCTCAACTACCTTTGAATCAAGTCTTAGGAGCATTTTCTAAATAAAACTAGCTTGGATTGGCTATTTGATATACCTTCCATGAAAGAAAAGTCAAGTAAAGAATTATGACTATTTCGTGGGATTTATGCTTAGCACCGAGATGATGTTGAGATGGAAGTGCTCCCATAGCTAGTGGTCAGGTTTCTAGTAGCAATCTCCTTATCCCATACCTATGTGCCCCCATAGGATGATTGTCTTAGATAGACATTAGCTAGTGGATCCACGTATGCTAGAAGTTAAGGTTCTTTCCTTGGCAAGTAAGGACACCCCTTTTCGGTGTGGGGCAGACACCGAATTCCATGTTATAGTTCACATGGTCTCTATGTCGGTTAAGTCTAATTCCCACACTAATGATGAACTAAGGCTACTTCAAGAAGTAACAAAAGATGAGTTTTACTTGCATTTGACCATGATTACTATGATTTTGTCTAACCTGTTTCTTATGGTATTAACTTGGTCTTTGCCTGACATGAAAGGTCCTTTTTAGCATGATTTGATAACTCTATGCATTGCTATCATACTTGGTACATTTTTGTGCTAACGCATACTCTTGCCTACATTGTTTCTCAAATGTAGGGTCTGATACTCTGATTCTGCATCCCCGTGGCTAGTGGACACTTTGGTTATACTGAGTAGCGGTGAGTCATTATGTTTCGAGGACCGAACCTTTCATTGTTTTCAGTCTTCACTTTTTGGATGTGGTACGTGATGACAGGGTTACGTCCCAATCACTCTTGATGTAATAGATGGTTTTTGAGACCATGTAGACTTCTCCTTCGTTTTTAACAAACTCTTTATGTTATGAATTGTTGTTTAAAATCTCTTCATTTTCTATTATCTTGTTTATGCATGCTAAGTGGCTTGTGTAGGGCCACTCGAGGTCTTATACGCCATGTTACGCCTAGGATATACTTTGGGTCGTGACATCCACGAGCGGCATGTACGGGTCGTACATGGTTTAACCGCACATGGAATGTGAGTCGTGGTTGAGACACTGGACTTTCAGAAATTGTCAAGCCTTAGATCCAGTTATGCAAGCCACCATCATGGTCCGTGATTAGGAACACGGGTCGTAGTTGGCCTCATAGACTTTGCCTTCAGAAATTTGAAAATTATTTACTTGGAAAGTACAAAGACAAATGATGGGTCATATAAAGTTCTACGACTCATGGAATGGTGATCGTGGTATGCCCTTAAAGACTTACTATTTTTGGTAATTGGTATATGGTTGGAAAGTACGAGCATAAAAGGAAACACGATCCGTACTTGACATTCGTGGTTCAAGGTTCGGAGACCCAGACCTATTCTCCAAACTCGATGTATGAAGGGTTTCTACGAGTCGTGGAGAGGAGTACAAATCGTAGATGGAGACTTGTGGTTTCTTGTCAGAGACTTAGACTTTCAGTAAAGGGATCCACGAGTGGACAGTATAGTTTGTGGATGGTTGTACGAACCTAGATGGACGTCCGTAGA